TGGGGTCCACGCCTGCTCCCACCCGGTGTCCCAGGCATGGCCAGGGGCTCAGGAGAGCTCAGAGCTGAGTCTGAAGTCTGTGCTGTTCTCAGGGCAAGCACGAAACCAACGCTGGCAGCTTCAGGCTCGAGAGCCTGGCGCTCCGCTCCCCGAGGCCCGGTCTGCCCTACGCCCCGACTTGGCTGCCGACCTGGCCTGAAGCGCGGGCCACACTGGCTGGTCCGTGCAGCATGCGCCTTTGTCTCCACGTGGGAGACAGGCCGAAGAGCCGGCCGCGAGCTCCCTGAGTATTGGGAGGCCAGCCAGTGCTCTGCTCCGTCAACCGTTCTCCTCCCATCCTGGGCCCCCTTCTGCACTGGACTTCCAATGCTGTGTTGTCGCAGGTAATTAAAGGTTTTTAATTAAATTAGGATCCCATCTGGCTGGGATCCGTCAGGCCCCTAACGAGGATTCTGTGTCACCAATATTAGAATGTGAATGGGGACTGAGGCGTGTGCGGGACTAGGGGCCTTCAAGACAGGACTAGGGAATCCTTCTGAGCCCTTCAGCGGCTCCCTGCAGTGCAGCTGCAAGGCGCCCCACCTCCCCAGATGGAAGCTGTGCACTTGGATGCCGGGGACAGGGCCGAGGACCAGAGCTTTCCCGTGTCATTCTTGTCTGTGAGTCTATAAAACCTTGGACGTGCCGCAAGATACCTGAGCACGATCTCATTTCTACTACTGAGGAGACTGAGGTCCACAGAAGTAAAGTGTTCACCATACACATCCACTGGATCAGCTGGGACAAGATTTAACTGCTAGAAATGGAGGCCCAATAAGAGAGAAGCTTGATAGAAATAAGATAGAAATTTGATTCTTCTCTCGCATAAAAGTCTGAAGGTAAGCAGCCTGGGGCTGGTATGATATTTCTGTCCCACAAATTTTTCAGGGAATATTTCCAGTCATTTCTAGGCTATGGTTCTTACTCTCATGGCCTCGGAAGGCAGCGAGAGCTCCAGCAATCACATACATATTCCAGGCAGCAGGATGGAGGATGGAACAAAGAAGGGCCAAACTGTCTTAAGATTTCTGAAAGTTGCCTAATGACCCTTTTGCTACATCACTGCCCATATCTTAGTCACTTGATCACATCTTGGCACAAGGGAGGCAGAGAAATGTATTTATTTCAGGCAGCCATGTGCCCAGTTAAAAACAGAGGATTCCATTACTATGGAGAAAGGGGGAATGGATGTCATAAAGTGATTAGTGATCTCTGTCACATGCGTTAGGGGGCAGAGCCAGGACAGGCACCCAGCCGGGTCTGCTACCTCTAGCCAGGTCCTGTCACCTAGCCACCTCAGGAACAAGGCTGAAATCAACATCAGCCCATCTCCAGAAACAAAGAGGAGGAAGTTACATTTGTTCAACAGCTTATCTAATTCTCCCAACAATGCTCCAAGGGAGATAGATGCTAGTTTTTCACATACGGAGGCTCTGGGAGATTATATCATTTGTCCAAGCCACCTAGGTAATAAATTACAGACCCAGGGTTGGGACCCAGATAGTTCTTCCCACAGCACTTATGTTGCCAGTTCACTGGCAGGCTCTGTGGTTCAGGAAGTGCCAGCTTGTGTCTTGGGACCATCCAGCCAGGTGGCCCTGAGATGAGGAACCAGGCATCTTTCTTTTGGGTTGCGTGTTAGCAGGTCAGGCTTTGAGCTTGGCAGGTCAACAGGAAACAGGACCCTCCCCTGCGGGAGGAAAGCCCGCCCCCAATTGCTGAGTTCCAGGTCTCTTCTGGCATTTGTGCCTTGTTGATGGCAGCAGTTGCCACTCCAGGACTTCGGCATAATCGGCAGGTGCTGCCCCCACCTGACCTTGCCTCTGCCCAGTGAGGCTGGTGGCGCCTCCCCTCGCCTGTCACCCCAGCCTCCAGTTCTCCTGACAGTATGGGAAGACTCAGGGTCTTTGGAAGTAACATTTCTCTCTCCCACTCCCAACCATGACATTGGATCAGTTTCCAACACAGAGCAACTGGCTCATTGTGTCCCCCACACCCCCCTCCACCAGAGGTCCCCAGCGCCCGGGCCAGGACCGGTACTGGTCGGGTTGGTGGCCTGTTAGGAATCGGCAGAGAGAGAAGCTCGCCTGAGCTCCACCTCCTGACCGCCCCTCCCCCACCGCCCCGAGCTCCATCCGCTGTCCCTGCCGCCCACCACCCCGCTCATGGAAAAATCAGTCCCTGGTGCCAAAAAGGTTGGGGACCACGGCCCTACACACATCCACTTGATAATCCAGGCCCCTGGTCAGCCCATGCCCTCTGCTGCTCCCACCCCCTGTACACACCCTCCTCTGAGCTTCCCTGCCCGCCCACCGCCTCCTGTGTCTCTGAGCAATGGGCCTTGCCAAGGGAGCCTGCCACATGCAAGGTCACCAGCGTTCTTGCCAAAGAGGGGGAAGGGGGTGACTCAGTTCCTGCTTGCTCATCCCAGGAAAGGAAGATGAGGGGGGAGGGACCCAGACACCCATTTGCTTTTGCCTTCAGCTTCATCAGGGGAAGACTCAGCCTTGCTGCCAGTGGCCCTAATGGGTATCCCCTCCAATTAGCTTCACAGGCTGCTGGGAAGACTCACCCCATGAGAGATGCAAATGATGAGGCCCAAACAGCGCCGGTGCCAAGTCCGAAGGGTAGAGTTGTTCTCCAGGTGCTCTGATGCTTAAAAAAGAACAAGCTCCCCCTCCCCCCATGTCCACATTGCAGGTCTTACCCTCAGGGAAACTCCAGTCTGTTGCGGAAGGCACAGACCCTGGTTCCCAGTCTGATGGGGAGACACTATGCCATGAACTCAAAGAGCCCCTGGCCTGGTAGGCACGCTCTAGAGACTCCGCTAGGATGGGGGAGACAAGAACCAGCCCGCAGTGAGCACTGGGGGAACGGGACCGTGGGACCAGAGCCTGGTCACTGAAGGGCAGAGGTGGGGAAGGGGGGCATCCATCTCAGTGATGGGGTCCAACTCCCAGGGGGATGCCATAGACATTGCTCACCAAGGCAGCAGAGGTTGGCCTTTGCAGCCAGAGGCAGCTGGCTGGACCCCTTACCCTTGTGAAGATAAATAGGGTGCAGGAATTATGGCGATGTCAAGAATAGTAGGGCCCAGAGGGTGATTCCAAAAGAATTACGATTTCGGAGGATATCTGTCAGCAAGATCCTAGCTGAGAAGAGCAGCCGGGTGATGGGAAAGGCAGAAAAGGAGGGTGAGGCTGCAGAATGTGTGCGCGGGTGAAATGAAGTTATTAAGATGAACCCACCCCCTGCGCAGGCAGAGCTGTGTGCCAGGCAGGCCGGCCCTCCAGCTGTCGGCAGCATCTGGCTCTCCACAGGAGGAGAGGAGCCGGAGGGGGTGGGTCAGAGTGTCCCCGGGTCCTGCTGTTAGTTCAGCCAGGCCCGACAGAGGGGGGCCCCAGGGCCACCACTTGCTACTCCCCGCCCCCCTCTGGTCCTCTGGTCCCCACAGGGCTGTGGGAGGGGCTCCTCCCCGGTGCCTGGTGGTTGGGCATCTGCCCGTGGGACAATGCACCAGATTCTACAACTGCAAGCCCCCTGCGGCAGGGCTTGAGGCCCCGAGCCACTTTGAACACTGAGTCCCCTTTCCCATGGTGCGAAGGGAGAAAGTGGCGTGGAGCAGTCGGGGAGTATCTCAAGTCTGCCCAGGAGAGATGCCCCAGGAAACACGATGCAGGGCAAAGAAGCTGGAATAGGAGTATGAGCTCAAATCACATGCCCTTTCTGAGTCACTTTATGCAAGGTGGCTCCTAAGGCCCCATCCAGCTCTGCTCTGCAGCATGAGGGAGACTGGTCCGTGCTGACCGCTGCTGGGCAGGAAGGACAGGCTGGGGGTGGCGGGGCCATCTTCCCCTCATGCCAGGACTCTCCTAACTGGCTGCATGGCCAAAAGGGGCCCAGGGGACCTGAGTGCTGGCCTCCAGGCCTAGAGTGACCTCTGGAGAGGACACTCTGATCTTGGTAGCGAGGGTCTAGCCTTCCCCTCACTGAGCTCCAAAGGGCCCAGCCAACTCCCACCGGCAGCCGCCCATTCTGAGGTCCTCTTACGGGCTGCGGCAGGGGAATGGCTGCTTTTAAGTCCCCGTCTGTCCCCACTCCACCATGGCCTGTTCTTTCACTATAAGGTCGTCAGACTGAAAAACCAACACCCCTGATTCCCGGAAAGAACCCTTCCCAGGACACCTCCCCCGGAGAAGCAGAGGCAAGTCGCAGCTGGGAGAGAGTGTCAGAGGTGCGTCCTCATCCTGGGCAGCCAGAGCCAGGGAGGGGCTTAGAGGTCATCTGAGCTGTCCTCAAAGTGTGATCCCTGAGCCCGGAGCAGGAGCATCTACCTGGGCCTTGGATAGAAAGGAAAATTCTTATGCCCCACCCAAACCTACTTGGGAAGGGACCCAGAAATCTGTTTTAACCAACCTTCGTGTTGGTACAGAGGCCCATCTGCATTCAAGAACCTCTGGGCTGGGCCAGCTCCTCATTTTATAGAGAAGGAATGGAAAGAGACCCAGAGAGTGGACTTGTCCAAGGCCACAGAGTAAAATACTGATGGACCTGGGACCCCCACTGGGCCCACCCAGGTGGCAATCCAGGGGGGTAACAAGAAACACCCTTCCGTGGCCCCTCCCTCCTACCAGCTCTCCCTCCCTGAGCTGCTTTGGCAGCCGCCGCCACTCACAGCTGTGCGCGCCCGGGAGCCCTGCTGGCTGGACGATGGGGCACCCGGGGGCCCTTTCCCCTGACGAGAATCCAATGCCCTGGGAAAGCTTTATTCCCTGCTCCAAGAACAAGATTCGGCACACAGAAGTTGACAATCAGGTGATTTCACAAGACCTCCCCCACCCCCCACCCCCCCACAGACAGACACCACGGAACAGGTCCAGCACACCCTCCGTGGTCTGGCCCCCCCAACCCCACAGCCAAGAGGGGAGGCAACATCTCCCCCCAGCCCCGATCTGACAGGCAAGACTGACTATTGAAAGGTGGCTCGCTGGACAAGGATGCTCCCAGAGGAGCCAGCAGTGGAGGGGTGGGTTGGAGGAGGGGTGCACAGCGGTACAGGGGGACTTCCAACTATGGCCCTGGTGCTGGGGAACCATGATCACCCCCTGTCTCAGCTGAAGGAAGGATGTCCCATCAGCATGAGGAGGGGTGGGGGAACAACAGCAGGAGAGGACATTTTGGAAAGGGGTGGCCAGGCTGGGGGCAGATGGCAGATGATCTATATGTCACGACATCAAAGACTCCAAAGTCACCACTTCAGTCTCAAGCGGAGCTCAGCCCACAGTCCAGCAAAAGGGGCTCAAGGCTGCCCACTGAGTGGGCTGGAGAGCTCCTCCTTCTCCGCCCCCGGTGCTGGCTCCCAGGAGGCCCACTTCCGCCACCCCTCCCAACCTCCTTGGCGTCCATGCTGATGGAATAGCCCTCTCCTCGTTGCTGTCCTGTCTCAGGATGGCAGGGAGGGAGCCAAGGCTCCCGGCTCCTCTCCATGCTTTATTGAGGCCACGCTGGTCTGCCAGCGCCAGGGGCTTCCTGGACACAGCACCCACCTGTGGCTCAGTGGGGACACCCTGTGAGGCTACATGGAGAACCCACTCCTCCTCCAGTGCACCTGTGCCCTCGTCGCTCCACAACCTCAGGATGGGGCCAGCACTTGAGACCCCTTCCCCGCCACGTGAGACTTGGCCCTGGCCCAGCGTGGCGCCTCCTTCCCTCCATCCCATTCCCTGCCTGAGGCCCCTCCCCTTCCCTGCCCAGTGTCCAGACAGATGGCCTCCTGCGTGGGCAGGTCTGTCCTTCCAGGCCCGGCCCGGCCTGGCCTCTGTGGCCTGCTCAGGGTCAGCCGGAGGGGTAGTAAGGAGTATCGCTGTGGTAGTTGTAATCTGGGCACACCTTCTGGACCAGCCTGTAGTCCGTGCTGTAGAAGGCGATGTAGACGCAGACGACTTTGAAGGGCTGGGAGCAGCTCCAGGTGGCTGAACTCTGAGCGTGGTCTCGGGAGCAGGTCTTGGCTGGGTCGTGGGTGCAGAGGGAGGTCCGGCGACCCCGTTCCACCTTCTCCCACTCCATTCGGCAGTTGAAGATTTTGGAGGCCTTGGCTTCAATGAAGATCTGTTGCTCCTGGTGGAACTCTACGGCTTTACTAGGGGGCACGAGGCTGATGGAGATGTTGCCCTGGCCAGTGGCGTTGTGTCGGAAGTGGACGCTGAAGGTCCCGTTCCCGTGGTCCACAATCTTCCCCGTGACAAGCAGGTTCAGGGTGACCGTCTTGATGTTGGAGTAGAAGTCGCCCCAGCCGAAGATCTTCTTCACCTTGGCGGAAGGCGAGGGGCTATGGTTCGGGCGGTTGGGGGGCTGCCCAAGGAACCCCCAGGCCTCTCCAGGTGGAGCCAGCAGACCTAGGAGAGTGGAGTTGGCCAGGGGGCGGGACTTAGGTGAGATGTGGCCCCGCTTCCGAGGCATCCGGGGCTGGGGCTGGCTTTCGTGGTCATCATGCTCAGGGTCCTCTGAGCCAGGATGCCCATCCTCCTGGCCACAGATGACCTGTGGAGGGAGTTGGGATAAGTGTGAGAGCCCTGTCCCCAGAGGACCCAGGAGTTCTAGTCAATTGCTTCCCACTGCCAGCGTCGTCTTTCTCTCCACTGACTTGGGGCTGAAGGGCCCTGCACGCTGCCCGTTTGTGCTGGGGGGCTGGGTGCATGCTGCGGCTGCTGCCATGCTCCCAGCTCATGTTCTGACACTCAGGCTGCCCCCCTCCACCTCTTCTCCCCACTGCCTTGCCTCCGGCCACTATTCAAAGTCTAAAAGGAGGGATGAGAATTCTCTCCAGTGGACCATGCCTCCAGCGGTCCGTGGCCCCCGCCCCCGGGGAGTGCCCAACCTCAGGGAGGAAGCCCAACTCCTGATCTTGGAAGAGCCGCTCTCTGATGGCAGAAGCCTATCCCGGCGCTGACAGAGCCCCCAGACACTGGAGAGGCAGAGTCCCTGCCTCGGTGGAATCCCAGGCTGGTGGGGGAGCCGCAGTCTCTGCCCTCTAAGAGCCCCAGGTCAGGGAGGCAAGCTCTGTCCCAAAGCTAGAAGAGGCCCCGGTTTGACAGAAGTACAGCCCCTGCCTTTTGGGACTTTCTAGTCTGCTGGCTGAGGCACCACCCCACCCTAGGACAGTTCCTACTCTCAGAGGCAACGACAACCAACAGGCAATGGAATCAGAAAACAGAGCCCAGAGACATTCTCTCTCAAGTATAAGTGCAAGAGGACTTGCGGGGCTGGGGGAATCTGGAGTGAATTCCACACTGAGGATGGCCAAGAGAGGGGAAAGCCGAACACTCCCACGGGGACCACTGATGGTGACATGCCAGGACATTACTTGCACTCTGAGGTAGGAGTTCTTATTCCCATTTCACAGATGAGGGCCCCGGCATTCAGAGGTTACATCACTGCAAGGCTAAGTCACCTAGGATTGGCCCTCCCGCTCCTCCGCACACGCCCAGGCTCACAGACCAGATGTGTCCTCTGGAGGGGCTTTATCCAAGCCCCATCCCCAACCCGAATCGCCTGTAAAACCACCAGAGCTCTGCCGGACCACTCTGGCAACAGGCGCCTCCGGGGGAGGCTTCCTGGAAGAGCTGCGGCGAGGGCCAGCAGGACAGCCTGACCGAGCGCAAACACGGGACGGCTCTGGAGGGCATCCAGGAGCAGACAAGGTTTCCTGAGGGCAGTCGCCTGGCGCGTCTGCTCAGCCTTTGACGAGAGCGCTTACCCTCTGCGGCTGTGTTACCAGCACCAGGGGCACCTGTTCACAGCTGGGTGGCATCTGGATTTGCTGTTGTCCCTGGGATGAGGATGGGGGGGTGCCCGAGGGCTGGATAACGGAGGGCTCCAAAGGGGTGTGGGGTCTACGCGCTCCCTGTTCTGACCCTGGCCGTGCCTGAGGATGTGAGCAGTGGCCCTGCCTGCCAGGCCCCAGGGACGGGGTAGGGCAGCAGGAGGGCAGGCTCCTGGGGGCTAAAGGCTACGGATGGGTGTGCACTTGGCCCCCGGGGGCCACAGGTGAATGGACGGAGGATGGGGAGAAGGGCCGCAGGTGGGATGTGAGAAGGGAACGGTTCCTCCACGCAATAAGTGGCAAAGGGGAGACGGCCAAGGGGAGATGGCCAAGGGGATTATTGTTGTGAGGAAAGGGGCAGATCCAGATGTGGAGCTGAGGCTCCCCCAAGACAGGATGGGGGGTGGGGCGCTGGGTCGCAAAGGAGTTGAGACCTGGGCTGGGGCCTAGGGTGGTGTTCCCCGGCGTCCTGGGCCCCCGGGCAGCCGCAGGCAACAGCAAGAGGAGCGGGATCTGGGTGCCCAGCTCAGCTGCCGCGAGAGCCCGGGGCGGGAGCCGCCTGCCCAGGTCCTGTGGGGCTCGGGCTGCGCGCAGCCGGGAGAGGAGAGGAAAACAACAGGCGGGGAGGGCGGGAGCGGGAGGGAGCGGGAGCGAGGGACGCAGGGGCTGACCCCGCCTGGACCGGCTCGGCGCGCTAGGGGACCCGCAGCCCGGGGCCCTGTGGGTCCCCGAGATCAGGATAAAGCCCAAGCCCCCTGACTTGACGAGTCACCAGCTCCACAGCCCACCCCTTGGCCCCCTCCACGCGGCCCGGGCTCCTGGAAAGGGTCGGGTAACCCTTGGCGACCTAGCTGCCAGCCTTTTCCCTCGTGCCGGTCGCACCTCCCGCCACCAGCGGCCGAATGGGTGGGCCAGCCAAGCACCCGCTCTCCGCCCCCATTAACCCTTTCTGCACCTTCTTCGGTCTCAGACCCGCCCTCTCCCCCAGCCTCCAGGCGTTCCCTCCATCCCAGAGATCCGGGGGGGAAGGGAGAAAGTTTCCGGGCTCGGAAGCTTCCCGCGCTCTCCCCCAGTCCTCCGAGCCCCTGCCCTCCGCGCAGCTCCCCGCGGACGGCTTACCAGATAGAGGCTGCCCTGCACTAGGAACACGAAGCAGCAGCGAGTCAGTTGCATCCTCTTCCTTTGCTCTCTGGCCCCTTTCTATCTTTTCCTCTCGGGGTCCCAGGCCCCTGCCTCACGCCTGCTCTTTTCAGGAGCGCCGTCCCATGCTCCGGTCGCTGGCGACTCGCGGCCCTTGCTTCTGCCAGTCGCCTCGGACCGACCCCGCCCCCTTCGGTCCAGCTGTGCAGCCGCCGCCCCCTTTCCCTGGGCCAGATGCGCGCCCCGCGGCCCCCTCTCGAGGTCCCAGATGTGCGCCCGGAGCGCCTCCAGGGGCCCCAGCTGCAAGGTGGCTCTGCCGCTCCAGATCTGCGCTCGGCGCCCCCCTCGGTTCCAGCGGCGCCGCTCTCGCCCAGATGTGCTGGGGACCCGCGCGCGCGCCCGTCCCTAGTGCTAATTTCCCTGACCAGACGGCCCCTCCCGCCCCGTCGTGGCGCGCCCCCTGGCGGACGCCCCTGGCGGCGCCGAACCCGGCCGCCGCTCCCGGCGCAGCACCCGCCAGACTGGAGCGCTCCTGGCGCCCAGGCGGCTCCTGCCTCCTCGTCCCTCCTACAGGCGGCGGCGGCGGCGGCGGCGGCGGCGGCGGCGGCGGCGGCGGCAGGTACGGTGAGCCCAGCCGGTACCTCCATAGTTAACTCCTCCCCTGCCGGCCCGCAGCTCGGGGACCCAGGACAAAGGAGGCTGGTCGGGGCGGGGAGGAGGGGGTGGTGGCAGGGAGAGGGTAGTAGCGTGGGGTTAGGTACCCTACCTTCCCCACCCCTCTGGCAGGGCGGTAGGCATCTGCTGCCCTACCCTCAACCCCAGGAGACCTGGAATTTGGAAAGACCGTATTTTCTAAACCCATTCCAACAAAAACAAAACAACGAAACAAAAACAAAACCCATTCCAACAAAATACAAAACAAAAAAAGTCTTCCTTATTGCAACTTCTCCCCTCAGTCAAAAGTCCACTTTGTATCTGTAAGACTTGCTTCTGTGCTGAGGGAAGTTCTTCTGGGTGTCTAGCCTGTACTCCTTTTGTTATGATGTCAGTTCCTTTCCTCTTCTACTTTAGTCAGGGGGGCTGGAATAACTGTTCTCACCCCCTAACACACACACACACACACACACACACACACACTCACACACACACACTTCAGTGCAATCACTGTGACAGGAAACTTTTGGCTAAAGCTCTGGGCTGAAAAGGCTGCTAGGGGTCAGGCTAGATTCTGGGGCTGGGGTCCAGAGTAAACCTCCTGAGAAGCTGGATAGTGAAGTGGGCAAGGCCTCTGTGGTGGCTGCTCCTTTGTCACTAGGCTGGGACATGCGCTTTCTATTCCACTGGGGCCCCTGGTTGCCTCTGGTCTCTGCAAATTTCCAGGGCAACGAGGAAAAACAAGACCCTGATATGAGATTCCCAAAGGCAGGACCCTCCTCCCACTAATCTCCACACTTCCTTCCTGGAATTTAGGGGCCCTTTAATCCTTAGAAAAAGGCAAAGGTCAGGTCCTAGAACCCTTTGAAGGCTGTGAGGGTGAGGAAGTACCCCAGCATTTGGAATGGCCCCAGCCTGGGCTGGGCCCAGGACTGGACCCACAGGGCCCAGTGGGTGGGCACTCTGCTCTGTGGCCCTCGAGTCTCCGCTTGGTCTCTGGCTGCAGCCCTCAGCAGGCACCCAGCCTCCTCCCCCACCATCTGCCAGGCGGGTGCGCTAAGAATGCAGATGAATCTTAATACCAGCCTGGGCCAAGTGCAATGAGGGAGACAGCTTCTGCAGAACCCAGACAGCGTCACAGAGCCCCCTGCCTTCCCCAGGCACCCTGGGCGGCACCAGGTACAGCAGCCCTTCCCTAGTGGTGGTGGCGAGGTGTGAATGTCTAGCCGGAGACCCCAAACACCAGGGGAGGAAGAAACAGATAAATCCTTGTTTGGCCTTGGGGCCTCCTGTCCGGCTGGGAGGGAGAAGCTGTCCGCCTGAGCGTGGGCAGCTGGTTCCGGTGCTCAGCTAGGCAGAGGCAAAGCTGGGCCCACTCCTTGTACATCTGCAGGAGGCCCTGTCCTCAGGAGAGCAGTGTGGCCCAGCAGAAAAAGTACAGCTTTGCAAGCCAGACAGCTCTGGATTCCACCCCAGGCCCCGCTGTGTGACCTTGGGCAGGTTGCTTTGGTTCTCTGATGCCAGTTTCCTGATCTGTTGCAAGAACTAAATGAGACAAAATGTACAAACAAAGCGCAGGCACAATGGCTGGCGTGCAGTCGTGGGAGTGCAATAAAGGGAAGTTCTCGCCTTTCCACTTCCCACACATTTGCTCTGCCTGCGCCTCCTGCCAGGCTCACCCTCACTGCCCCCTTGGCCACTCCTGGCTCTCGCTTCCTTCAAGTTTCCCCTCCGCATTCATCCATCAACCAGTAATCAAGCCTGTCCTCAGTGTCAGGCACCAGGCCAGGGGCTGGGATACAGAGATGAATGGGACACCGTCCCTGCCCTCAAGGATCTCACTGGCTAGTGCTGAACCAAGACATGGAAATCAATGATTATAACTCAGTGTGGTGAATGGAATAATAGATTCCTGTACCAGGCATTATGGATGCACCAAGGATGGTGGAGACAGGGGCAGGGCAGGTCAGAAACGGCTTCCCGGAGGAGGTGATGCCAAAGTTATGAGGAGGAATGAGCCGGGCCAGGGCTATTCCTGGCAGGAGGCACTGACTAATCAAAGGTCTAGAGGCTAGAAGGGGACGCAGTTTGCTGTTACTGGAGCGCAGAGGGGAGAAGAGGAAGCTGGGGCAGAAGGCTGGGCCCGGCTGATGAAGGGCCTCCTGTGTCAGGTCAAGGGATTAGGGCTTTTGTTTATGAGGATCTAGTGAAGGATTTTAATAAGGAGGATGGTGATTATAGATTTGCATTTTAGGAAGCTTTTGGAGAGTTCACTGGAAAGATGAGAGACTAGAAGGAGAGAACCAGTCAGGAGATAAATGCAATGGTCTGACGTGAGGTGGTGAGGAGGAGGGGAGGAGAGGCTGAAACACCTTTAGAAAGTAAAATCATCAGGATCTGGCGGTTACTGAGGCGAGAGAGGAGGGGAGAAAGGGAGTCAGGCATGATACTCAAGTTTCTGGCTTGGGCAACAGGCAGGATGCTTGCTGAGATGGGCGCCGCAGGAGAGGGAAGGAAGGTGCGCTTTGGGGAGAGCGGGTGGTAGGGTCAGCTTTGGTCATGTCAAGGTTGGGTGCTGTTGGCCATGCCAGGGCAGAAGGAAGTCGAGCCTTGGGTGTTAGGGTGGTCGGTGATGCGCGCTGTGAAAGAATTCACAAAGAGAAGCGAGCACAGAGAGTAACGTTTTTATTCACTGTCCAAGAAAGGAGAGGGCATGGCGTGGAGAGATGGGGGCTTTGAGCTTTTACTGGGTTCTAATTGGATTACAAGAGGGTGGGGGGTTGCCGCTGGGTGGCCCCTGGGCCATCGGGGCTGCTGTAACGTGAGGCTGCAGTTCGTTTCAATGTTACCGTACCTGTGGCCATAGGGAGCGGTTAGCTCTGTTCTTGCTTTCTGGTCATTTTCAGTCCTGGGGACCTAAGCTCAGAAGGGTAAAAAGGCAGCATGTTTAGCAAGGTCACAGGCCTGCTCAGCAGATGGTGCCACAATAGCAAATGGCGCTGACTTGATCCTTTCATGGGGTGCTGAGGGTGTGGATACACAACAGGAGCAAGGGGCTGGATCGCGGAGTGCCGAGCACTCTGGCATTTAGGGGTGAGCAGAAGAAGGACAGCTCCCAAAGGCCCTTGGGCAGGAACGGGCAGCCAGGGGCAAGGGGAGCAGGTGGTGGAAGGGGCTGTCCGACTCAAGTGTCCTCAGTAGAGTCGGGTTTACTGTACACACAGATTCTAGGGTCCCACCCCAGGGAAACTTAATTGGTAGTTGGTGGTCCATTAGCATGTATTTTTATAATCCCCTGCGCTGCCCCTCACGATGCCGATGGAGGTGACCTCCGGACTTCACTCTGACAAACTCCGGTGTGGGGGGAGCATCCAGAAAGAGAGAACGAGAAGCAGCTCAAAAGAGCGGCGTGGCCTGGAAAGGTGGAAAGAGAACAGAGAACACCGAGTTTGGCTGAGATTCCCCCGGCAGCTGTACCCACCCTCAGTCCCTCCAGTTGCTCGCAGGGTGGGAAAACAGTGCACAGCTGTGCTGGGGGTAGCCCCCGGCACGCCTGCCATTCAGGCCCACCTCTCAGTGTCCGCCAGCCCCCCCCACCCCCACCCCCCGCCCCACCCCCTGCCGCGCCACACCCTGCCAACTGCAGACGCGTGATCAAGAAAGCGGGCAGGACTCAACACACTAGCCCCACCCCTCAGCCCACACCCAGCCTCCTCAGCCCCAGTTTGCACCCTGGATGCGGGTTGGCTGACCACTTACTTAGCACTTCCAGGGCCTTCACTTGCTTCAGCCTCACCCTTGGAAGAGTCTATTTCCCTCCCCCTCCCCCCTGCCTCTCCAGTGCTGCAGGCACCTGATCAGCGCGCATTGAATGAATGGGAAGTGGGGTTCCTGAGGGTTTGAAAGGCAGAGAGTGGATGCTCTTGGGCAGCTGAAGCAGAGCGGTCCAGGGGGAGAGGTGGGAGAAGGTGGTTATTGTTAATTATCATTCATAGGTACCTGGTGGTCTGCAATTTTAAAGTGTTATCATAGAGTGCTATGTAGAGGGGACTAGCAGAGCCCAGAAGGACACCCTGATTCAAAAGAGGGGCCCAAGGACAAATCCCAGATAAATTTTCTTGTGATATGCGGATAAGCCCAGGTAGGAGGGAAAGGAAAGAACCTTCCAGGCAGAGGAAGCAACTCATGCAAAGGCCAGAGATGAAAGCAAGGCTGGGACAGGGTTCTGATGAAGACGAGATGAAAGAAAAAAGTCATTTGTTCTACAAATAGTTATCCAGCGTCCACTTTTATGTCTGGGCCCTAGGCTGGGTGTCGGGGTACAGCTGGGAACGGAGAGGCTGCAGTACTTATTCGCATGGGAGGTTTGGGCTTTGGGAGAGACAGAGATGAAACAGTTAAGCCCAAGAAAACACAAGCTCCACGAGGGTGGCAAGTGGGATGAAGGAAGAACAGCAACAGAGAGCAGAGAAACTAAAGAGGAACCGCCAT